AGGCAACCACCCAGTTCAGGTACCCCCTGTGGATAGCAGGGATCCAACCGCTCCAGCCATCACCAGCTGCCTCCCAGGGTGTGCGTGAGCTGGCAGAGAAAACAGGAAGAGGAGGTAGGACTGAAACCCAAGTACTCTGATATGGGATTCAGCCACACCAAATTGCTTCTTATCTGTTGAGCCAAATACCTGCCCCGGAAGCAGCTTCTGATGCTGAAGGGTGAGGGTGGGGCAGGGGGGTGAGGGTGAGAAGGATTGGTGACATGTCCCACAAATTCCAGACCAGATTGACCAGGCTTTGGCTGAGTTGGGTGTGACTAGAAGCTGGGCCTGCCACTCGGGAGCAATGGAGAGGGGATCCCAAGGGCCAGGCAGCTCCCCCGGGGCTGGTGAGTCCAATTTGCCAGGTGCTTTGCTCGGGGTGGCCACCCTGTGCAGGGTCCCGAAGAGGCTGGATGGGGTAAGGGATGCTCAGAGCCCTGTGACAAAGCAGGGACCACCCTGATTCCTGCAAGGTGGCAAGGTCAATGGTCCAAATGGTGTTTCCTCACCCGGCCTGGACTTCCCTGGGGGCCCAGCTCCCTTTCCTTCTGTTCTTTGCCACGGAGGCGAGCAACTCCCAATGAAAGCTGTGTTCCTTTCTCCTGGACGTGGGTCCATTCGGTGCAGCCCCATACTTACCATAGGACCATGGAGGCTTTTAAGCCTTGCATCAAATGTATGTCAAATGTGGGTGGAATATCAGGTTTGCACAGCCCTGGGTAAGGGTAGGTAGGTTATAATCTCTGCTTCTTCCCTGCGGGGAGGGGGGATAACACTCCAAGACCCCCAGTGGCAGGTGCCTGGAACCGTGTAGGACTGAATCATGATGTGTTTTCCTATATATCCCTACCTACCCACAATAAAGTCTGATTTGTAAATTAGGCACAGAAAAAAGGAACCACTGGGCCAGTGCAGTAGCCTAAGTGACTAAATCTTTTGGCAAGAGCCAGGATCCCATATAGGTGGCAGTTCATGTTCTAGCTTCTCCACTTCCCTTTCAGCTCCCTGCTTGTGGTCTGGGAAAGCAACAGAGGATGGCCCAAAGCCTTGGGCATCTGTGCCTGTGTGAGAAAAATACAAGAGGCTTTTGGCTCCTGGCTTTGGATCGGCTCAGCTCCAGCCATTGTAGTCACTTGAGTAGTAACCCAGCTCATGGAAGATCTGTCTCTCCCTCTCTCTGTAAATATGGCTTTCCAATAAAAAAATAAATCAATAAATCATGGGCAATAGCTTAACGGCTAAAGTCCTTGCCTTGAACACACCCAGGATCCCTTATGGATGGATACTGGTTCTAATCCTGGCAGCTCCACTTCCCATCCAGCTCTCTGCTTGTGGCCTGGGAAAGCCAATCAAGGACGGCCCAAAGCTTGGGACCCTGCATCCACATGGGAGACCCGGAGGAGGCTCCTGGCTCCTAGCTTCAGATTGGCTCAGCTCCAACCATTGTGGCCACTTGGGGAGTGAATCATCGGACAAAGATCTTCCTTTCTGTCTCTCCTCCTCTCTGTATATCTGACTTTGCAATAAAAATAAATAAATCTTTTTTAAAAATAAATAAGCCTTTAAAAAAAAACAGAAAAAAGCCAATAACCACTAATAGAATATAATAATAAAAATCCCATACATTGCCCCAAAAGTGCTTGAACACGTACTAATTGCTTCTTTTTTTTTTAACATTTGTTTTTCTTGGAAAGGCAGATTTATAGAGGAATGGAGAGACAAAGATCTTGCATCTGCTGGTTCCCTCTCCAAGGGCCCACAAAGGGCAAAGCTGAGCCAATCCAAAGCCAGGAGCCTCTTCCGGGTCTCCCATGTGGGTGCAGGGTCCCAAGGCTTTGGGCTGTTCTTGATTGTTTTCCCAGGCCACAAGCAGCGAGGTGGATGGGAAGTAGAACAGCTGGGACACAAACTGGTGCCCATATGGGATCCCGGGTTCATACAAGGTGAGGATTTAGTCACTGAGCCATTGTTTTGGGCCCCATTTCTTACTAACGCTTTCTCGAATCTTCCATCCAGTACCATCAGGTTGTGGTTGACCTCAGGGAAAACAAAACCATACAAAGTGAAACTTGGGATAGGGAGGTGGATGGTTGTGACAGGAAGGCAGATCTTGCTCTTTCTCTCTTTAATTTTATTTATTGGAGAAACAAAACAGAAATAAAAGACAAACAAAATAACAACAGAGCTACAAGGTAAGAGCGAAAAAAAGAGATCTTCCATCCACTGATTCACTTTCCAAATTGCCGCAGTGGCTGGAGTTGGGCCAGTCTGAAGCCAGGAGTTCCTTTGGGGTCTCCCACCTTGGTTGCAGTGACCCAAGGATCTGGGGCATCCTCAGCTGTTTTCCCAGGAGCTAGATGGGAGATGGAACAAGCAGGATTCGAACACGTGTTCATAGGCTTTTCCCACCATGTCACGCCTTGGTAGCACTGGCCCCAGGAAGGCAGCTCTTGACTGGCCTCTTCCTCCTTGGCTCCCTCTCAGGTTAGGCCCTGGGCTCCACCCTGTGGTATACAAGGCAGGCTCCATCACCCCCAGTGCTGTCTTTCAAACAGGAGCTTGGACAATCTCGGAGCGTGGAAACGCCTCTTCACAAGGCCATTCTGTATCCTGAAGCTTTGGTTTTCTTCCATGCTGGAGGGTCCACCCAATCACCATCATCCCCACTCCTTCTTATGAGCCTCCCTTCCCCATTGTCCTGTCATAGCACCACCCTGAAAACATGCCTTTGACCATGTAGTTGACTGGGACATCAGATGCCTCATGAGGCAAAGTCCCCCTGTTTCTGCAGCTACCCTTCACTCCTCATTGCCTCCCATTGCCTGTTCCCTCCTTCCTGTCCATCCTTCTTACTCCATCTGGGCCACATGTGGGGCCTCCTGGTCTGTGCTAGTTTGATAGCCTGTCTCCTCTGACACGGGCTATTCCTTCCCATCCTTCAGGCCCGAGGACTGATTCTGGCCGGCAGTCCAGCCTGGGACACAACCTGACTCCTTCCTAGCTAGTTGTGTGACTTTGGCCTTCTCTGTTTGTGCTGACATTAGGAAGCCAATGAAAACCCTCTCCTGGTGTGGACTCAAGGATGATGGCAGACAAGACAAGGGAGCATGGCATTTAGCTTGCTCAGTTACAATTATTCATTACTTTTTAAAAAAGATTTTTTAAAAATTTTTATTGGAAAGTCAAATACACAGAGAGGAGGAGGAGAGACAGAGATGGTTCACTCCCCAAGCAGCCGCAGCGGCTGAAGCTGAACCAGGAGCTCTTCTGGGTCTCCCACACAGATGCAGGGTCCCAAGGCTTTGGGCCGTCCTCAGCTGCTTTCCCAGGCCACAGGCAGGGAGCTGGATGGGAAGTGGAGCAGCCAGGATTAGAACTGATGCCCATATGGGATCCCAGGAGTGCAAGGTGAGGACTTTAACCATTACATTATCGTGCTGGGCCCTCAATTACTCATTACTTAAAAATATATATTTATTTATTTTTATTGGAATGGCATATTTATGGAGAGAAAAAGGAACAGAAAGATCTTCTGTCTGCTGATTCACTCCCCAAATAACTGCAACAGCTGGAACTGAGCCAATCTGAAGCCAGGAGCCAGGAGCTTCTTCTTGGTCTCCCATGTGGGTTCAGGATCCTAAGGACTTGAGCCATCCTCTGCTGCTTTCCCCGGGCATATTATCAGGGAGCTGAATGGGAAGTGGAGCTGCTGGGACACAAACCGGTGCTTCTGTGGGATGCTGGCACTTACAGGAGGAGGATTAGCTAATTGAGTCATTGTGCTGGGCTATTTACTACTTTTTTTTTTTCTTAAACACTTGAGAATGTGTGTTCAAGTTTCAGTTCTGGCTCCTGAGTCCAACTTCATGCTAACGCACACCCTGGGAAGCAGCAGTGATGTTGGCTCAAGTCCCTGGGTCTCTGCCACCCATGTGGGCAAACTGGACTGTTCCTGGCCTCTGCACTCCACACCACAGCCTGCATCTGGGGAGTAGCCCAGCAGATAGCACTTCTCTCTGTTTCTCTGTCTCATAAGTTTGTCTAAAAATGAAATTAAAAGATATTTATGGGCTAAGGTTCTTCCTGTTTTACCACCAGCATCTCATATGGGCTCAGGCTCCACTCCTGGCTAGGTTCCACTTCCCATCTATAGTGCCCTGCTAATGCGTCCGGGGAAAGCAGCAGAGGATGGCCCATGTCCTGGGAACCCTGCATCTGTGTCGTTGGAGACCTTGAAGGAGCTCCTGATTCCTGGTTTTGGATCTGCCCAGCTCTGGCCATCGCGGCCATTTGGGGAATGAGCTATCTCTTTAATGTCTGTAAAAATCTGCCTTTCAAATAAAAATAAATTTCAAAAAAGAGACATTTATATATTTTTAATTAACTTGTACATTTGTGCCGGGCGCAATGCAGTTTTTCTCCCACACATGCACACAGTGCAAACGGATAATAATAAAAAAAAAAAATCAGGCAGTTAGCTTATCCATCTCCTCCTCTACTCTGTCTTGGAGCCCATTAGCGCCTCTTGTCCAGCTGGCTCGCTGCGATGATTCATTCCGTTTCCCTAGAGACTTTTCCCCAGGAGAAGTGGGTCCCCACCATCCCCATTCTGGGTCCCAAGTTTTCTTCTCCTTCAGCAGTGCCTGGAACAATCCCTCCTTCCCTTAGGGGACGCCACCAGGATGTATTCTGCACCTACTACGTGCCAGGCACGACTTGGGTTCGAGCCCAGGTCGCAGACTCCGAAGAGTCTGGGGTCCTGGCGGGTTGGCGGGGATCCCGGCGGGTCGGGTGTGGCCCCGGAGGGTCGGCCCACAGTGGGCCTGCCTTCCTGGGGGTCACCGCTCAGCCCTCCGCTCACGCACACAGTAGGCGTTTGCAGAGCTCCGCGCGCCGCGCCCCGCCCCGCCCCTCCCCCGCTCCGCCCCTCCCCCGCTCCAGGAAGTTGCGGGGGCTCCAGCCGCCCGGCCGGCCTCGATGCATTCTGGGAAAGCAGCAGCACCAGGTCCAAGATGGCGGCCAGCAGGAGGCTGATGAAGGTAAATCCATTCTCCGGCGCCGGCGGGGCGGGGGAACGGCGTCCCGGACCCTCGGCCCCTCGCGGCGGCGGCCGAGGTTCCTCGAGAGTCGGATAGAGGACGTGAGGGGCGTCCCTCCCCGGCTTCCTGCCCTGCGAGGCCTCCGCCGCCTCCCCTTTCCCGGTCGCTCGCGGCTTGTGGGAGGTAACGGGGACGCCTAGGCCGCAGGCTGGGCGGGAGCGCCAGGCCGCGCCGGGAGCCGCCGCCGACCCTTTGGCTTGTGGCCCCTTTGGGCCTACGGAGCTCGGCACGGATCCCCCAGTTCCTCAACCCCCGATTCCCGGCCCCTCGCGGACGGAGGTCGCGGCTGGGCTTGCTGTGTGTGTGTGTGTGTGTGTGTGTGTGTGTGTGCGCGCGCGCGCGGGGTGGGGTGGGCGGAGGCGCCGCGGCTCATGGCGGGTGCCGGGCTGGAGGCCCCAAAAAACTGGGGCGCTGGCTCGCTGGGCCGAGCTCCCCAAGCGCCCGGAGCTCCCCGAGGCCGCGAGCCGCAACGCTCCACAAGGCTCCAGGAAGAGCCCAGCCCGCCACCGCCGAGAAGCCGGTTGGAGGGAGGGAGACCCGGGGAAGGAAGGAGAAGCGGCCGGGCTGCCAAAGTTTTAAGTTTCTGGTTGTTGCCGGTGAAAGACTGCACGAACTGTCGCCTTGGAAAGACCTGCAGAGTCACACAAACGGGCAAGTTCCAACTCCAGGAAGGCGTGGGGTCGGGCCCGGTCGCCGGCGCGGTTCTCTCTCTCCACCACTTAGTCATCCCAACCCTTCCCCTTCCTCCTCCTTCCCCCTTGAAACAAAGTGACATTTTTCTTGGGGATGGGGAGGCTCGCCTGAGTGGTAGTGGAGAGGAGAGGAGGGAGTTGGGTTTCAGTTGTTGGAGTCCAAGTTCATAAAAAAAAAAAAAAAGAAAGAAAAAAACGAACTTGGATTCCCCGTATACTTTTGACTCTTGAATGCAGCGGTAACCTGCTGGCCAGGTGGCTCGCAGGTGCAAAATAAGCTAAATAAGCTGTAGTTTCTTTCTTGCCCCATGAATCTGCTGACTCCCTTCAGCTCCTTCACCCCCATCTCCATCATCTCCCCACCAACGTTTAAGTGGGTGATTTTGGATGCCAGGGTTCCTTGTGCTGGCACCCGGAAATGATTAAACACACACACACACGTAACTGGAAAGGGCAGGGTCGTCCTGGGGTAGAGCCCACGGTTGGTAGAACTAGTTCTTGAACTGGGAGTCTCCTCTGCCCGTTCCTCCCGTCCCCTCTGCCTGAGACAGCTCCATCTTTGGTTGGGCAAGGAAGGGTTAACTTTATACACCTGTTGTGTGAGTAGTGGGTACCCAGGAGCATTCCTCAAACCCTCCATCAGGGCACATGCATGGCCGTGACTCTCAGGTGCCCTGGCAGAGTGTGTGTCTCCCCGCCCCCACCCCACAGTCCCAGAGCACATATTGCATCCTTTCCCTCTTGTTCAAGACCTCTATGGTTTTATTGACCTCAGCAGTTCCTCCTGACCCCTGCTTGGCCTGTGAGGCCCTTCTTGGGCTGCCTGCCAGCCATCTGTTCAGGCCGGCCTCCTGGCCTTTGCCTCCCTGCCTTCCGGTTTCCCCAGCCTTTGCTGTGTGTCATGCTCTATGTCCAGCCTCCCCCTCCTCCCGATAGATGTTATCAGTGAGGACAGTGGGTTTGTCCCAGTTGCCCCAGTTAGCGCGAAAGCTGTCCTGCACCTCAGCTCTGCCTCTGCCCACCCCCCAGCCGGAGCCTCGTGCTCATTGCTGTTCCTGCTGATGGCCGGCTTCTCCCTTGCAGGCCAGCAGCCCTGGGAGACCGCCCTCCAAATGCCCCTCAGCATGAGTTGATTCCTCCTTGTGTGACCACAGTACTCTGTGTTTCTCTTGAATGGCTTTAGTTGTGTCTCTGACTTGTCTCTTCTGCCCTGGGTTCTGAGTTTCTGAAGGACAGGAATCTTGACCTAATTCATCCTGGTGTCACCCAAAGTCAGCACCATTGACCCGCTCTGGAATCCCTGGACTCTCAGGGGCTCTGACAGGGGAATTACTATGGCTTCTAAAAAGAAGAATTTTGTATTAAAAAAAAATTGGGAGTTTATAAAACCATGGGTAATGTTAGCTGAGGACTTATTAAAATGCTGGAGTCTTTACATAAATTCTTACTTTTTAGTGTTCAACATCAGTGCTTTGTCATCTTTATTTTTGCAAATGATGAAACTCTTGAGTTTAGTTGGATGAAGAGCTGGACTAGCATAACAGTGGGGAAGCTCCCTGACTCTGGGTTCTTGCTTCTGCGCGCCTCGGCCCCTTTTCTGAACTCCAGGGCTACATAGAAGAGTAGGTGTAGTTTCTTGAATAATGATGAGAATTCTTCCAGTTCGGTAGGTTATAAGGGTCTGGTGGTCGCCTTTGAGAGTCAGCAGCGTGTAACTTCCATGGTTTAAAAAAAACCCAAAGGAGGGGTGGGTGGTATGGCACTGCAAGTTAAGCCGATGCTGGCATGTGTATTGGAGCACTTGGTCCAAGTTTTGGCTGCTCCGCTTCCGGTGCAGCTTCCTGGTGATGGGCCTGGGAAGGCAGCTGACGATGACCCAAGAATCTGGACCCCTGCCACCCGTGTGGGAGGAACAGACGGAGATCCTGGCTTCAGGCTTGCCTCGGCCTGGTCCAGCTCTGGCTGTTGTGGCCATTTGGTTTGGTTAAGGGGACCAGTGGAGGAGGCTAGACCCCTTTGCCTTTCAAATAAACAAACACATTTTTGAGAAATTTAAAAGTAGAAGTATAATTTTTTTTTAATTTTTAAAAAGTGTTTTATTTAGAAGCCAAGAGTTACAGAGAGACAGATCTTCCATCTGCTGCTTACTTCCCAGGTGGCTGTGACTAGGGCTGGCCTAGGCCCAAGCCAGGAGCTGCTTTGGGGTCTCCCACTTTTGTATCAGGGATCCAAGTACTTGAACCTTCCTCCCCTGCTTTTGCTAAAGCTTTAGGAGGGAGCTGGATCGGAAGTGGAGCAGCTGGGACACAAGCTGGCACTCTGGGGAATGCCAGCATTGCAGGCAGTGGATTGACGTGTCGCACCGCACCTTTAGTGCTGTCCCAGAAATAAAAAATGTTGATGCAGGTTAGTCAGCAGTCTTTCAGTGTATGGAGTGGGAATAACGAAAGGGATTTTTGCTGTTAAAAGATAAAATAGAAGGCCCGGCGCTGTGGCCTAGAAGCTAAAGTCCTCGCCTTGAACACACTGGGATCCTATATGGGCAACGGTTCTAATCCCGGTAGCTCCACTTCCCATCCAGCTCCCTGCTTGTGGCCTGAGAAAGCAGTCAAGGATGGCCCAAAACTTTGGGACCCTGCACCTGTGTGGGAGACCCGGAAGAGGTTCCTGGTTCCCGGCTTCAGATCAGCACAGCACTGGCCGTTGCGGTCACTTGAGTGAACCATCAGATGGAAGATCTTCCTCTCTGTCTCTCCTCCTCTCTGTATATCTGACTTTGTAATAAAAATAAATAAATCTTAAAAAAAAATGGAGTTTAGTTCCTAGAACCATGCCTTGGGCAGAGTAAGCAAACAGATGTTGAATTATCAGATGAGTGACATCTTGAAGAACTTGAGATTTCCTCAAGAAATGTTTTCCAGGACAGCGCAGTGTCAGAGCTATCTTTGGAACAAGGGACTGTCGGTAGATAGTATGAATTACATTATTAGGAGTGGAATGATTTGCATGGATCAGACTGGGAAGTTATTTTAGGCAGAGAGAGTATGCTAGTCTTTAATTTCAGAAACATTTGCCAAAGAGATTAACTTCTTTGAGGACCCTTTTTAGGGATTACAATGTTAATAAAACATTAAGTGTGTTTTAATTTGGAAACAGCTAATTGAGCCATGGTGGCCGTAAACCACTGGCTGTGTTGTGGGGGTGGAGTGTTGGGGCAGAAATAGATACAGAGGCCAAAGAGGAGGCTGAGCGTGTCCCCTGGGAGCTGGGGGCCTTGTGTTCTCTGCAGCCTCCTGTGCCCGCGTTCCCCCAGGGCCCTGACGGTGAGGAGCATCTCCGGAGGACTGTGCAAGAAGGATGGTTAGTGTTTTATTAATTGCTGTGGCATAACTGCGTAGATAAGAAATTGGGATTTGTAGCATCCTTTTAATGCTGTTTAATGTTCTCTCAGAGCTTCGTATTGGCATAGGTAGTCTTTAATCACACGTGAGTTGGAAGAATTGGGTAAGTCACGCGTCATTCCTAGGAAGTCGTTGTGATAAGGGATGGGCCAATTTGCTCTTTAGTACAGGCTTTTTTTTTTTTTTTAACATTTATTTTTATTGTAAAGTCAGATATATAGAGAGGAAGATCTTCCATCTGATGATTCACTCCCCAAGTGGCTGCAACTGCCAGAGCTGAGCCAATCCAAAACCAGGAGCCAGGATCCTTCTCCAGGTCTCCCACACAGCTGCAGGGTCCCAAGGCTTTGGGCCGTCCTCGACTACTTTCCCGGGCCACAGGCAGGGAGCTGGATGGGAAGCGGGGCTGCTGAGATTAGAACTGGTGCCCATATGGGATCCCCAGTATGTTCAAGGCATGGACTTAAGCTGCTAGGCTACTGCGCCGGCCCCAGGAATTTTACATTTGATGATCTGCAGTGTAAGTGGCCAGATTCCATTTCAGGAATAGTTTTGGGGTTTAGGGAACTGAGAAAAGCATTGCATGTTTCCCTCCAAATTCATGCATTCCTCTAAGTTGGGACTTGTTCAGATTTCCTTAATGATGCTGCTTATGAACATTTCTTTATCAAAAGAGAATTTTGGGTAGCCTGGCATACTAGTGTAGCTGGTTAAGCTGCCAATGGCAGTGCCAGCTTGTAGGCACCAGTTTGTGTTTTCCCTGCTGCGTTTCCAACCCAGCTACTAGCTAATGCAGATGAAGCCCAGCTACTTGAATCACAGTATCCATGTCGGAGACCCAGATGAA